TTCCTCTTTTATCACTAGATGTTCTCAGTCTTCAGGTTGCATGAATTCCAGCATAATTAAATCGTAAGGCTGAGACTGTAGACATTCTGTGAATGCAAGGTGTCTTGGCCCCACACGCTGATGACAGGGGATTTTCATGGTGCTCTGCACTCACAGTCCAACAGTGCAGTGAGCTGCGCTGTCTTCATCATGTCAGTGTCACTCTCTGCATCATCATGATCCACCCACTGCCAAAGGTTTCAAGATGTAGAGGACCCTGAATGACAGGTAACCAGTCTAACAATGACTGAACAAGAAAAGTATTAAAACAAATTAAATAATCCATGACACACATTACAGGTGAAACTCGAATAATTAGAATATCGTGCAAAGTTCATTTATTTCACTAATGCAACTTAAAAGGTGAAACTAATATATGAGATAGACTCATTACATGCAAAGCAAGATAATTCAAGCCGTGATTTGTCATAATTGTGATGATTATGGCTTACAGCTCATGAAAACCCCAAGAACCCCAAATCCACAACCTCAAAAAAGTAGATTATTACATGCAATCAATAAAACAAGGATTGTACATAGAACAATATCGGACCTCTGAAAAGTACAAGCATGCATATGTACTCAGTACTTGGTTTGGGCCCCTTTTGCAGCACTTACTGCAATTACTTTTGCACAATATTCTAATTATTCGAGTTTCACCTGTAGAGGGACCTCTAGGGGGGGAGAGCCTGGAGCCAAAAGTTGGGATTAAAATGCAGATGCTGCTGTGAATCAAAAAAAATTAAATCAAATCCCAATTCACACATCACAAATAGTGCTTCTCACTAAAAAAATATAAAGCACAAAAATGTAGTTTACACTTTATGTTTGCAAAATGTAAGTGGCAGCAACACCAAAAATTTGCTAAATATATAAAATATCCATAACATTCTTGTGTTAGGCAGTTGTAATGATTTTGTTTATATTTGTTCTCCTAAATTAATTCATCTATTTCTAAATATCTGAAGAACCACTACACCTTTTTGTGTACATAACCTTGAAAATTCAATTTTACTAGATGTCAACAGGAATCCACTAAATCTAAAATATAATCAGCACTACGGCATCTGTAGGTCTTATGATATACAGCAGTAACATAATTTTACCTATTGCAGAATATGATATAATACAACAATGAAACACTCTTTCCAGCACTGACTTTTTCAATTATACACAGGTCAACGAGTAAGAACCAGGAACCAGTTTTTTCTTCTTCATTGCTTAACAAAAGACAGGAATATCCTACACAGCCTGTTTAATTTGCTCATGTGTGTGTGTAATGGAAGGAATCTCCATTTTCCAGAACAATTCCTGATTTCTGACTGTGGCATTGGACATTATTAGAGGGCACTTAGGAGGGCACACACTGCAGAAACCACAGACTCCTCCTGATGGTAAAATGTTTTAAACAATTATGTATAGTGGTTGTCAAGATATGGTTTGGCTGAGACATTTTTGCAGTAAAGCTAAAACCCACTTTTGTGTGGTGGCAGACCACCATCTTAAGTTCTATCAGTGAAAAAGTGGAGTGTACCCAAAAGTTAGAGTATTGTCACACTTTTGTACATTGCACATTTTAATAAAAATATAGTACATTTGGGTTTTAATTGCCGTGCCCCCCTAAGGGCCAGTTCACATTATCTCCAGTGTGTACCGGCAAGGTTTTGCACTGGATCACATGGTGGAAGCCTCCCTGCGTTCTGGGGTGGGGGGCATGGTGGTGCCACTGAAGTTAATGACATCGCAGACATCCCCCCGCCACAGTGTGATCGCCTGCGCCAAAACGCATGGCAAAGCAATGTCTGCATTCCAGTCCAGTGCATTCTCAAACAATTGTGCATGAACGTACAGGAAGGCTTCCACTATGCGACCCAGTGCGTTCCCGCCACTAACCGTGAAGCTGGTGTGAACCGGCTCTTAGAGAGATTTGATTTCTCTAATGTAGGGTAAATCCATAAATCTGACATTATATATCTGTTGACCAATCTCTGCAATTTCAGCAGCTGTGTGCACAACACAACAGGACATATTGGGGAACCAACCACGGGGGAGAAAGGCTACGGAAACTTTTGTAGAAATGGTTAAGCATGTTTTTGAACATTAGACCACCTTTATTTATGTGTAGCTATCTCCGATGTTTGCATAATTCCTGATACCAGCAAGATCTATTTAAATTAACCTCTACTGAATGTCCAGATATACCCTTTGGTTGCTGGTAACCCATTCTTGTAACATAATGCACATGCATTTTAAGATTTCCCTGTCTTTCAGAAAAATTATGTAATATTCACTTGCGCCAGAAGGAGGATACATGCCAATATGCCAAACATGCATGCGGTGTAGCTAGTAAAATATTAACCACTAAATCTGTACTAATATCAAAGTCCACTCACAATTAGGCTAACATTTACTAATTCAAAATAACAACTAATAGTATATAGCAGCTAAGTTGTATTACCAAAAAGTATTACCAGTGTATTGTGGTTTTTTCATAACTATGCACAAATAGGTACTGCAAGCTATTTGGTATTGTAATGTTAACTCATTGAGAAAAAATAAAAATGAAAGATGTTTAAGAGGTGATAGAACACCTATGAGTCACTTTTAAAAAGGCTGTACTGTTAAAGGAGAACTATGGGGTTAGGGCTTTTCCCCATAGTTCTCCTTAGGGTAACTGGAGGACACAAACTAGCGTCCTCCAGTCACCCTAAGCTCAGTATACCGCGAGCTGCAGCTCGCGGTATACTGAGATGCCGCAGCTGACGCGGCGTCTCATTATACAATTATGTCTGGATCCACCCAGCTGCGTGAGTGACAGCTGGCAGAGCCAGCTGTACCCACCCCCTCCCCCATCCGTTCCGCCAGTCAGCGCTGGAGGATCGAAGCGGGGAGGGGGGAATCCAGTGAGCGAACGCCGGTATGTGTTCGCTCACTTCCCGATCTACTGAGCCGACTTGTTAAAGTCTCATTGTCACAGGTCGGCTAGAACTGTGAGGTGAGTGAAAAGCACTCACCTCAAAGTTCTCCTTTAAAATATAAATGAACATACTTTACAATACAAATAACAAATCTAACAGTCTTGTTTAAGGTAATGGTCAATTTACTCCTAAAATGCAGTCTAGAATTAAATCAAACTTCTATAGCTGTATGGCAAAACAGTGTCTAATTGTATGGCATTTATATAGTGAAACTCCAAGGGTTTCTTAGATAAGAATTTTATTAAACAGAAAAATATGCGTTTTGGGAAGTGTAAATGTTGAATTTTACATAAAAGCTACATCAAGATACAAATCATAGTGGTTTACGAGACAAAACAAGTAGGTGCTCAAATATTTATACTCCAATATGTCAGAACAGGAGATATTTATGAATCTAAGACATAGTAGCAGTTATGTGCATTGCTTAAAACTTTAGAAGTAATGCTGCTTTTACGAATGCACACCTGTTATGCTGTCTATTAAATTTGCCATTACTTGCCCTTTTTTATCTTTCAGGCAGCAACCAAACAAGGAATAGAGGAATGGCACACTTGAGTTCTATGTATAAGAACTAGAGAAACTTACAGTGTGGGTGTTACCTGAAGCAACAATTTAGATTTCAGGCCTTCGTTATTTGCTGTAGTTATGAAAACAATTAAAATATTCTACCATAATTACTGTTTAAGTTACTTATACTGTAGCCAATTTTCCTTTTCCTTTCCTGCAGTTATTCTACAGAATGCCAAGGTTTTCTAAAAATGTAACCTTCCATAGTAGCCATAATGGTTTATTAGCATCTACAAGAGCAGCCAGATAGTATAACTGCAAAGTTTGTTCTGGCTATCATATTCTGTCTGATTTTATAATCATTAGTTTATCCATCTGCATTTTCATCAGCATCCTTAATTAAAGGCACTTATAGGACAGCAAAACATTTGCTAAATTACATGTTTTAGACATTATTATTTTAGAAAGTCCACTTATTGAAAAAATATATAAATCTACATTTACCATGTATCTTTCCATGGACTAGAGACAAATATTATTATTTAAGCACACCCAGTGTCAGATATAATTCATGCTAAAGAGACACTGTTACCTTGATCATGCAGAGCAAAGCATCTCTGCAAAGGGCCTCTCCCCAACCTCCTTATAATCACCTTACATTTGATCCCTTACCACTACTTACGCCATTGCAGAGGTGTCAGCAACACAGGGGAGGTGACATCACTCCCTTGGTCATATGACAGTGCTCAGGACTATACCATTATATGCCTTTCTCAGCAGAGGACTGCCACTATCTCTGTTCACATGTAATCATTTAAATACTAGTGTTAGTACAGTAGCCTTTATGTTATTGGTAATTTGTATGCACTCTGACTTTGCCAGATTAGTCACTTTAAGTGATAACTTGATAAGTAAAGACTGAGGATATTCGCATTCTTGTCTGCAGCAGACGTAGATAACATAATGCATTTAGCAATTACTCTCAGGCAGACATTGAGAGACTGTGTCTAGGCACAGTCACTTGACTAGAGCTCAAGAATTTAATTTTTAAGTTACAGTATAGTTTTTATTGTATTCATGCAGATTCATAAACTTTCGATTAACTCTGTTCTAGTTAATACCTCATATTGGTTAATATAGCTATTTTTTAATTTTAATTTATAATGGTAAAAAAGTCACCATGGAGCTATCTGCTTCTTAATAAAGAAACTCTTTTTATGCCTTGTTTTGGTTAATAGGAAATATTAATATATAAATTAATTTTCCCTTTAAATTGCACAGAAAATGTAAGTAACCTGCTTATTTAAAAGTTGATAAAGGACTATATAATTAACAGTTATATTATTATGGTCCTGTACCAATATGACATAAGATTGCCTTTTCTTTAAAATTCAGTACTGTTGATCCATTCTAGAACAACACAAAATCTAAAAGATGCATCAGCACTGACACAAAACAAAATAGAAATGTTCTTACCATTTGCACTTTCTTCATCTATAGCAACTATAGTTGCTGGTGGCCCAGATCTAGCCAGTTCACAATCTACAAAGAAAGGAAATGAAAACAGAGAAAAAATGTATTAGCGGAATGACTGGCTCAATATGTTAAGTAGATATGCGATGTTGCTGGTATGGCTGTTTTAATATAGGATGATAGTATTGGTATCCTATGCTGCACAGAACAGAGCAATTGAATGACTGCACAAAATGGTTTCACAAAGTCTACTCGTACTGCCACAACATTGTGCTGAAAAGAGCTGTTTACATTTTAGCACATCTGCACACCTAAAAATGCAAATCACAAGCACCTGGCATATCACAACATAGAACAAATCACAAGTCACACCAAAAGCTGTTGATGGGCTTAAAGTAGTGATGCTGCTTGCTCCATTTTCAAAAAGGTTTGATTGTCTGTTTATTTGTAAAATGGAGTATTTAAATACATGTATTAATGACTCTCAGTATTGGTTATTATTTAAGTTTTTGGTGGTCATTAGCAAGTTTACTGACTTTATATTCCTTTTAGGGAACTCTGGTGATAAGATTAATTTCCACTCGGCCCTATATCATGGCTATTGTAAAGTGATTTGGGGGGGGGGTTCTGATCCCACCAAATGTTTCTATTATGTAAAATAAATACCTTGGAAAGGGGCACACAACCTTCTCATAATGTTCATGGAAAGTAGGCAAAGGATGGAACTAAAGAAACATAGGTTTTACTCTCGAAGTCCCTTAGGATATTTGAAACTGGCAGTTGATTCAATATATGTATGTGCCTACAAAAAACCTTAACTATCAGATTTGGTAAACAGAGTCTCTAAGCCTGTTTCCTAAGTTTAAACTACGTATAGTTATTAAGTCAAAGTTCCTCAAGACTGGAGAGGTGTTATGGTAATTTACCACAAAATAACAATAAGAGATGAGTAATAGATAAATACTGTAATTAAAGCTTTGCAACAAAAACAAATATAATTGGAATTTAATTGTGATCAAAAAGGATCTAATTGAGGCTAGTGAGCTGAATTTGAATAATGTTATGAGTTGGAATGGATATGAATAACAGACAAGCAATGTTCAGGATTTTACGCTCTTGAGATCTTACCCTCAAATTGCCAGTCTGCAGTCAAAAGTACATTCATCAAAGGAAGCAGAGAAGAATTATGAAAGAAAAGAAATGAGAATACAATCATTCTTTTATAGACTTCACATGCAAACAGCAGAATGTAGGAATTAGCAGGAAAACAGAGGGTGTTAAGTGGGTGCATCAAATCCTATCATGTTTTTTCCATTCAAACTGAAATAAATCCTCTTACTTTATTAAGCCAAATTTCTGAAACAAATGTATATTCAGCTTTTTTCAATTCAGCTTTGTGTATAGCATTTTTCTACCAATACTGCTCCCTTATGTCTGCATGGGCTATAAAAGTTTGGATTGTACCAAATGAGAAACATTCACATTTTATTTGTTGCTATTGAATGCTATGTGTATGCCTCATGGAAGTTGGTTGCCATCTGTTTGTATGTCCTTGATTGTAATAACCAAAACACAAACATTGCACTGCGGATGCATCTAAATAATCCTTGCACATTCATGAGAAAAGTAATACATTTTGTTAGTGTGTGTTTAAAAAAAGGGTAACACTTTTTTAATTAAAGCAATTATGTTGCTTTTTCAGCTAGAATCCAGTTTTTACTTTTCAATATTAAAAAAGTAAAACGTTAATCAAATTGGTTGCAATGACCAATGCCACAAATGACTCTGATGTACATGTGTACAGTAACACTTCTACTTTCACTGGTGTTGTTGTGTACACTGGGAAATGGAGCTCCTTTTGTACTGGATTTGGCTAAATATGCAAAATGGAAGCACAACATATCCATTCTGTGAATGCCGATAAGCAAGTACACAGTATATCCCTTTAAAAACTACTAAAACTAACATTTAGTTAGCCTTTAATAAAAAAGCATTAAAGTGCAAGTTTACTTTTATCCACACATATGCAAATGTGTTTTTAATTTAGATGAGGATTCTTGCGAAGAGTAAATTATTCTGTCGAGTGTTAATTGTTGACCTTGAATATGTTAGAGATATATCTCAATTCACTTCCTATCTCTGTGACAGCAGGGTATTAAATAAGAGGAGTGGTTGTAACTGGGAAGTAATAATAACCTGACAGAGGTCCTAACTCTTCCTTATTATATCAGGAAATAAGTGTTTTGCAGTCTGTGTATTTCTCATCATAGTATGTCCCAAAAGGAAATGTTAACTTATCTCTTCAATGGGGTTGTAGACTGCAGTAAAAACCTGACAAGCTAAAAAAACAAAAAACTACTTTTCGCTGGATACTCATTTAGAGTCCTAGAGTGTAACTCATACTATTTGGTCCTTCTTCTCTCTGATTAGCCTCTCTGATATGATTACATGTGGTTTGGAATAGATGACTGTCACTGGACATATACAATTACATTGCATGTATTTACATGTATATACAATTACAAGCAGACTGCCACTTACAAATGCAGCTGCTGTTACTCTGTCATTTACTTGGACAGGACACCTGGGATTCCTGCCCTTGTGAATGGGCTTACTGGTAAAAACTAAAAATATAATAAATAATGATAAACATTGTTCCTACTTGACCAGTTGTTAGCCCTAGTTAACCCTAATAGGCCCTAAATCATACATGTTTTTTGTTTTATTTGCTTTTTGTTTGTATTTGCTTGTAGCATCCCAAAAATCACACACAATGAAAATAAACACCTTTTTTTATTTGTAAATAGCTTTGTCATGCATAATGTATTCTTCTTATTCTCTAATTCTCATCAAGAGATTTGCCATATAAGATAACTCTTACTATATGTTCAATGATATTTTATAGTGCAGAAAAGAATAAATGATCTAATAAAACTGAATTCCACGGCAATCAGATTTCTGGTTTCCTTTTACCAACATTAGCCTGGAGAGTGTTTTTGGGTTCCTTTGGACTGCACATCATTATTTTATTCAAAAACATTATTTTTAAAACTTTGAAACAAATGATTAAAAGATACAATAAGAAAACTTGCTTTTGATGCAATATTCAGTTTCAGTACAGAAATTTCCCCCCCGATGCTTTTTTCTGACTAATGTGCTCAATCTGATGGCCAACCTCAAGTAACCTACTTTCTGAGCCTAGGTCTTCCTGGAGCGACCCAGCCTGTGAATGGACAGTGAAAGGAGAAGCAGCACAGTGATGACACCATCTCTCTGCTACTCTGCTTTCTCTTGCTATCAACAAGCTCTTTGTCAGCACTTAAAATGATTGGCTCCTTTTGTACTTGCACTGCTTACATTTAAAAAATGAATTTAATGATGTATTAATAAATTAGACAGCTGCATTCATTTGCATCGTATATATCTGCATAGGGTTGAGTACCCAGCAAAGAAAAACATAAACATGCAAGGACAGTCGAATGCGACCAGTAATAGCAACTTTGGAGTTGATTTACTAAAGGAATATAATTGTTCAGGCTGCAAAGGCAATGCTATCTAAGCTAAGTAAATACTGTAATTAAAGTTCTGTTCACTCCAATCAACATATCATGTAGGAGCAAAAAGAGTGGTGTCTTTATTTACACGTACACATTTTTTGCGAATGAGTACCCCTTACTCATTCCTGGGGGAGGGGGCATTTGGAGGCCTCCTTAATTTTTTAAGGGGGCATCTAGACTTTAATTAGCCCCCACACATGGATGTGGGTAAGAGGCCCTTGTCTTTATCAAGATGGGGATAAGGTGTTTTACCTGGGAGGGTCCACCCTAGTAAGGCATCCCTCCATGTAGAGGGCATGTGGCTAGATATGATTCAGAAGAGAGAGGGCCTATACTCGTCCTCCCCCCTCCAGGCTTGATAGGCTGCTGTTTGGATAAGAGTCTGTTAATAGATTTTGAGGAGGACCCTACATATTTTTTGTGGGGTTCCCCTTATAATCCATACCAGACCCAAAGGGCCTGGTATGGAATTTGGGGGGACCCCTACATTTTTGGGGGCTTATTTTGGATAAGGGTCTGAGATTGATGAAAGAAATTGCCCGCCACTTTCTTTAAAAAAAAAACACCACAAAGGAAACAGAATTACTAAACACTGATGTATTACCTTGTGGCCAATAGGCACATAAAATAGATGCATGTTATCTATGGTAAATATATATTAAAAAACAAACAATTCTTGTCCATTACCAGAATCAACATTGTGTCAGCATTATAAAGAAAGACCATAAAATGTATAGTATGATTACATTTCTTAGGTTTTACTGCACAACAGATGCATATTTAAACCTATAAATCTGACACTGAATCAGAAACCTGTTTTTACAATATTTAAGATTCTGTCAACACAAATAAATATTCAACATTTTCACATACTTATATTTAACCCCCTTTCCAAACTCATGTCTTCCTTTAAAATAGTGAACATTTCTATTTTAGAGTTGAAAAAATAATTCTTCCCCACCATAGTACAAAAAAGTATCCTTTATGAAAATAGGTTACATTTGCAAATGCATTCAGCAATAAGTTGGAGCTGATGACCCAGGGCAGACAGCGACTTCTTGTTTTTTGAAAATCTTATTGACCTCTTACCCTTACCCTAGAATTTAGCCAGATGTGTCACCATTTTTTTCTGCTGAGATTACTTCTTACATAAATAAACATTTATTAATACAGACATTATTTTCTTGCAATACTTCACAAAATTAAAGGGGGGTATAAGCTTTTGTGACGTTCTTCTCAAGTACTAGTGGGCTTTTCATCTGACCAGAATAGTGGACTGGAATATTTATGCCTCCCAGAAGGAGTGGGTCGTGCTGGAACACTTATTCTCTCCACTTCCCCTTCCCTCTATCCCATGGATCCATAAAGCAGACCATCCCGCAGTCCTTAAGAACCCTCCCCTTATTCAAAGCACTTTTCAAACTTACATATCTCTTTGCAGAAAACTTGAGCTCTCCACAACTCACAGTCTCCTCACTCCAATGTGGCACATTCCAGCTTTTCCACCTAGAATGTCTGACTCTTTGTTTACGCTCCTAGTGTACAACACAAATCTCGCAATTAAGGGTCTTTTTTAGGCAGGGAGTGTTCCTGACAAGACAAGCCCTCTAAGATCTGATCAAAATTGAACAATTCTCATTCTGGTCTTATTTGCAACTGAGACACTTCTTACACGACTGCAAATCTAAATCATCCTATGACAGGGAGCTCATGAAGTTTGAAGACTTGTGCATCTTCACCACTACTCTTTGGCACCTTATATTACACCTCTATATGAGCTTGTTTCATAAGACCCCATCCATTGCTGATATGGAGGCTCGAGCATGAGAAAGAGACCTGGGGGTTGCATGGTCAGATGAGGCCTGCATGTAAACTTCAGCCTCCCGAAGGGTTCACTCATTGTTGACATGCAGAAAAACAGCCATACACTTCATACTAGATGGTACTGTACTCCTGTTGCATTTCACAAAATTGACCCTTATATTCCTGCTACATTGGAGGTGTCAAAGGGACAAGAGCACTCCACATTTGGTGGTCCTGTCCCTTGACCCATCTATTTTGGCTGCAAATATACACTTTAATTGAAAAGATCTCTCACACACTCCTTTGTTTTCTTCCTGCACAATCCCTTAATATCATTAAGAGGCATCCCTCTCAGACTTTAAGTGATCTCTCCATTTTGTTATCTCCTTAACATGGTGAAAACTATTGTCCCGATTGGATTGAAAATCCTCAACACCTACTGTCCACAATTGGTCCTGTCGTTTTGTGTATATATAGAAATAGAGGAGCTGATCTATGTTGATTTTGATACTATGATCTGGTACTCTGGTGCTTGGTACGGATGGGCAATTTTTAAAGCCACTGCTACATACAAGAATATTATAGATCCCTTCACTTTAGGAGGTTTCCAGCCCTTGTTTGGGAACAGCTTTGTCCTTGATTGTCAATTATTAATGCTGTTAGTGGTCAGGACTAACACCTTGTGTGGTCCCCTTCACAATTGTCTGCTAGATCTGACCTAGGCCAATGGTGATCTGGTGGCCCTTTAGGCCCCACTCCCTATTAGTATTCTACTAATTATTT